AAAGCCACCTTTGCAAGCCTCAAAGGATCCAAGGAAAGAAATTATGAGGACTAAGCAAGAAAGGGGTCTTAGTAAGTCATCTCTAAACCCTAAGAAGTAATGTTAAGGACTCAAGACCTTTGGTGAAGGATTGGGAATGAAAGCGTAAGCCAAAAGGACATAAAAATCATTTTACCAAATATGAAGGATCTTCCCAAATTTTTGGTTCCTTATCTAGAAGGAATTTCAAGATGCTCAAGAAGAGAAGAATGATCAAACATGAGATGAAGGATTTTTAGAAAAATTATGGATTTTTCAGGAAAATAATATTAAAATATTCGAAAAGTGGAAAATTACCATAATACCCCTGGAAGAACGAATAAATTACGAAAATGCCACTCTGATCAGAATCAGAGCGTCTAACGTGGCAATCTAAGCAAAATCTCTCGAAACTCAAATATCAGCCGTTGGATCTTCCCCAAAGTTGGATATGATCTAGAAGATGGACAGATCATAACATCCAACGGCTAGAATTCAAACCAAAGTCGGTGAGTCTCTGATCGGAGTAGATATTTCCGACGAATTTTCCAAAAAATCCAACCAACAATTCACGACGATTCTGGAGCTCCCAATGTCAGTTTAAGTTTCCCCTATAAATTCTGAGGTTGGGCTAGTCGTTGGCAATAAGTGTTTAGATTTTGAGTCTCCTACTCGGGTTTCTTCCAAATTCGAGAGCAATTCTCCACCATTTCCTTTCAAACTTGTTCCTATAGCTTCTAAACAAGATTACCCACAAGTTCTATGGAGGAATGGAGTGCTGAAACATCGTAGAACAAGATACCCAAGAGATTGAAAATTGGGGGTGTCGGGTAACTTGCAGACCGAGAGTGGTTCCTCAAAATTAAGATCCCACACTCAAAGTCGTTCCTCCAAACCAATTACTTTATCTTGAGGAAAGAATAAGGAAGAGGTTTCTTGAAGAAATCGAGCCTCGAAAACCCCTAGAATCGGCTACCCAATAAGAAATTCTCTGTTTTTACTCCGGCGAGAAATCATATTTTGGAAGCAAATATCTTAGGCTAAAATCCATGAAAAGGTACGAAGTCAATTCCTAGCTCTTCCTTGTAACACAATATTTAAGTTTCATGAAGAAATTAGGAGGAGAAACAGCGTGATCGGAGCTGGGGAGGGCGAGTTTCAGACAGCGGCGCTATAGCCGGCCGCGTCTTCTTCCCGACTGGAGGAAGAAGACGATGACGTGGCCGGTTCAGTTGAACCGGCCATGTCAACCCAAAACTCGACCTTTCCTCGGTTTTTCTCAATTCTAACCCCCTTTCAGACCGATTCTCATGAAAACCTTTATAGTTCCAGAAAGTAGACACAATAAGGCGTCTGTGAAAGGAAAGTTGAAGTAATTCGGGTACCGGAAGCTCAAGAAAAGAGGTCCCGAACGTCAACAACGAGGTAAGCAGTCACCTTGGATTTTTTTGTTAAGAAATACTTGTAGGAATCGCTTGGATTTCCATATGAACCCTAAAAAAAGTATGAAATTAGGATAAATGAAAGAAAAACCCTAGGAACCTTAAGTTAAGATCTTGAACCGAACAAATTGCTCGTGATTTAGGTAACGTTAAAATAACCCACTAGATGAACTTCGCTGCCTATGAAATTTTAATGCTGAGCATATTATAGCATCTTGAGGTTATATAAGAATTTTGGTGGTTTTTGGTTAAGGATAAGTAGATAAACCACGAAACGGTGCAAAATGACCATAATGCCCCTAAGGAAGACTACCTACGGTTCATGACCTAGATGACCTCTAAATGTTATGAAACTATATAGTAGATCTTATTTTATGATGTTTGATGATATGGAGAAGTTTGAAAGTCATTGGAATATGTTAAGTAACAAAACCAAGAATTAGGGATGAAATGACTAAAATGCCCTTAGGACTACTTATGAGATTTCAAGGTCTATACGTGCTTAAAATGATTTGCTACTTCTTATAAGGTCGATTATGAAGGACATGAAGATAAGTTTGAGGTTTCAAGTTGATTGGAGTAAGTTTGGAACCTAAACCAAGTTAGGATCCAAGAAACACCTAAAGGAAACACCACAAGACCTTAGACTCTTCTAGAACCCTTTAAAGAACTTCCTAGAAATCTATGACCTTCTAGAAAAACTAAGATGGGTTCATATGGTTACAAATACGAGTTACAACTTATGCCTCAAGAAATTAAGGACCTTAGAAACTTACAAAATTAAGAACCAAGAACAACAACACACCAGCTTTACAACTACCCAAGTAAGAAGAATGCTAGGTACCACTCAAGGACGAGGGACCAAGGTCCCCAAACTCAGAAACAGAAACTCAAGAATGCTAGGTAATACTCTAGTCATGTCTAAAGTGACCCATGACCTCCCACAAAGCAGTGCCCAAGAATTCCTCTTCTAGGTGGGATGCCCTGCATCATGTTTCCTTTGCAGGATGTCATGCCTCAAGATTTCCTCACCTACAAGGGATGCCCTGTAGACTTGCAGGATGCCATGTTTAAGTATGCACCGAGCAAGTGACCTTTACGGGCTATTAAGGGGAGTCTAAAGTCATGGAGGAACAAGAAGAGAGTACGTTACCTTAGCCACGAATCAAGAACCTCCTAAGACCTCCCACGGTACAGCATGCTCATGACTTAGACTATGCTGCTTGGAACGCATGAAGCCTTGAGCGTAGGTTAAGCAGACTGTATTATAGGGCAAGCCCTTGATGCAGTATTAAGACTACATCGCTTGGAACGTAAGAGGCCTTGGATGTAGGTTTTCAGACTATGCCGCTTGGAACGCATGAAGCCTTGGGCATAGGTTAAGGAGACTATATTATAGGGCAAGCCCTTGATGCAATATTAAGACTATATCGCTTGGAACGTAAGAAGCCTTGGATGTAGGTTTTCAGACTATGCCGCTTGGAACGCATGAAGCCTTGAGCATAGGTTAAGCAGACCGTATCTGTAACGCCCCTAATTTTCTTTAACCTAATTAGTGACGTCACCCATGCATACATATCTCATTAGGCGGAAGCTCATCATAAATAACCTTGAAAGAGTCTTTCATAAATATTCATGAATCCAAAACAAAACCTAAACTCCAAAAATAAACCTTCAATACTGAATTGAAAATAAATCCAAATAAAACAATACTCAATGCTATAACTTAAAACAGTCCAATAAACGTAAACTCCTAGAAATATCCCATCTCTAACTCCCATGGTAGCCTCAGCTCCGCCATCAACCGTACATTGGCGCCTTGCCTTTACTTGAAAAATGTAGGTAGCACGTGGCTTGAGTATTTTATGAAATACTTAGTACGTCACCCCACTGTTGGGGTTAGGAATGCAAACACATGCAACATATGAGCGGGACCTAACTTTTCATAAACTTTTCATAGCCTTGGGCGCTTTTCTATTCCGGGTAGAGTTGGATGTGTGGTACTCCTTCACACATGGCCAATGTACGTGTACATGGACCCACAAGGCGGGCTCATATACGTACCCCCTGGGCCTAGCTTGGTCGGGCATAACGTATTACACGTCGTCGGACACCACAGAACAGAAAAGGGCCCGCATGATATCATGGCGAACATAAATATCGTAATTCATTCTTTCGTATCATAAAGGGGAAGAATCCCGATGCACGTGACATACATATATGCATGAGGTCCCTTAACATATCTAACATGGCATTACATAAGCAGTGCTAACATCTCATTTACGTTTCTTACATCACATGGCATCTCACATGACTTACATTACATGACATATTACATAACATGAAAGTCCATCCCAGTTGCATAACATCTCATGACATGACTCGATAATTCTACTTGTATCTATGGCATCGATCAACATATTCATGACATATAATACTAACATCTCATTCATACTTCACATAACATAACGGTCAACAGTCAACATAATTCATACATCACATAACATACACAATCTACACTCAACACCATCTATACATCACATAATCATATCACATAAATATGGTGCATGCAGGGGCCACAGGGCATGCACCATCATACAACACGTAGTAAGCTAACTCCAACAGTAAGGTCACTTACCTCGATGGTCTTGGTTGAAGTCACTCACAACGAGCTAAGCCCAGCGGTTAAATATGTCCTATGATAACCACATAAAAACTTAGAACCTTTTATAACATACCCTAGCTAAACCTCATGCTATTATCAAAATAAACCCCCGACCTAAGTTGTCTTTAACGTTTAGGGACCATACTGACCTCAGATGCTGAAACTGAGGGCAGAAACGGCTTTAGAGGGGCCAAAAACCTTGAAATCGATATATTATAGTGACCTTGTCGCTAAGCCTAGTTGCCGAGCCGGCTAAGTAAGCCGCCAAGTCGAGCTGAGCCAAGTTAGTATTTCGAGATGGCTCAACCGTGAAACCTAGGCTTGCAAAAACATCAAAGACAATTGCAATTTTTCTTCTCATTTCAGATTTTCTTTTGACTTTTATCTCTTTTTTCTGCTTTATTATTTTTAAATATGTTACGATCGATGGTATCTTGTGAGATGAACTGCTTATTAAAAATATGTGTGACAAGTTGAACAAACTTTAGAAAAGTATTTTGGGTGATTTTAGTGATTGGAATAAAGGGAAAAGAAGAGACATGTCCTTGCATAAAAACCAAATTATGGGGACTCTTCCCGTCCTCTGTCAACATTTTTTTAAGAATAATATACCATCAGAATCCAACCTACTGCGGTATATTTGTATATCCAACCTACACGTATATTTGTATATATATATATATATATATATATATATGTCAAATGTGCGTTGAAAACACACATCTAGTACTGAAGTAATGGTCGGTTACAAAAGTAAACACATCTAGTACAGAAGTAATGGTCGGTTACAAAAGTAATTGTCCTTATTCCTACGCGGACAGGACTCCAAATCAATCTATAATTGTGTGTACAAAAATATTTTGACCTCCGCTATTCTATTGATTTTGACCTTCAATAATGGGGTAAGATAATCTTTCTATTAAACGCCTCGGACCTTGTATTGTATTGACGATGTTTTGACTAATTTTTCCATAACCATGGTCTTTCCACCGTTCTCCCCATGAATTTTTTATTATCCAATATTTTTGCTCGTTGTGCTCCCCAAATCCAACAACCAACACGGCATGTGAAGGAGTATTAATATCTAACAATGTGTTGACATCTTCAGGACCGTAATATATTTCCTACCACATTCAAACAACATACAAAAAAAAAGTTAGAAAACATAATTGAATAAATTATTTTAGCAATCATCTTTTTATAAAAAAAAATATATATATATTCGTAATTTAAAATTTTTATCGGCATACTATACTTACATCTTCAAGACTTCTGAATTCCATCGTTGCTCGTATAACTCCTGTTATCGGATGGTGTAGAAGTATTGAATTCACGTCATCACTGTCGTGGTATATCCTCCTAAATGAATTAATTTTCATTTTGGGAACCACCTATCATAGTAGATTAAATGTTATTTTTCAAAATAAAATAAAAAATATAATTAAAAAAAACACACACAAACTACAATATTTTACCTCTGTTATTTCTCTCGGTTCTCCTCTCCTGCCCATATATGGATAATGGGCTTCGCTTACTATTCCGCCATTGTTTATAATCCACCTGAATGCTTTGCGGGTGCTGTAAGCGTAACATCCTTGAGCATCTTGCTTAGTTGGGTGGAGCTTAATGCAATCGATTAGTTGTTGGGGTGAACCCTGAAACAAATCTTCATCTTCCTCTTCCTTTCTAAGTTTGATGTTGTATAAAGATTCAATTGCTGCTGTAGCAGCCATTGCCCAACAACAACCTAATTAGAAAAGAAATTAGGATTATAATATACTTAAAAAAATATTAACTTTTCATACTTACAACTGATTATAATATACTTAAAAAAATATTAACTTTTCATACTTACCACAATTTCGTTGATTTCGAATGGGAGTAAGTACTCCATGATCTCTCCAATCAAAATTTTCAACCTAAATCACACATAAAAATAATTATATAATATATATATATACCTGTATAATAAAAAATAAAAAAATACAAATAAATGAAACGTAAATAAATAAATAAAAATAAATATTTTCCTACATATATAAAAAAAAATTAAACATATCCTCACACTGACTTGCATGTTTTTTAGGAGGGACGAACAGCAGCAGCCGGATGAACGAAGAGACTGCCGCGGCGAACGAAAACGGAGTGCCGCCGCTGAACGAACGAAAACGGAGTCCTGCCGCCGAACGAACGAACGAAAACGGAGTCCCGCGCCGGACGAACGAAAACGGAGTCCTGCGGAGATAGACTTAGACGGAAAATGGAGTGGGCGCCTGACAGAACCACAATGTAGCACCGATGAACTACGGAGAGACAGAATGGAGAGAGCGCAGACACAATGGAGAGAGTGCAGAGACAACGGATAGAGCGGTGTCTGCCTATTTAAATTTCAAATGTTAGTTTAATTTTCATTTAAAAAAAAGAAAATTCTTTATAATGGTTTTTTTTTTCATATTATTTTTTTTCTTTGATTAATTTCATGCATGTCATACTCTGAAGACTGTAGGTATTTTTCAAACGTGGTACTAACGGTTTTGTTCATATAAGTTTAGGTTTTGTCCATATATTAATGGTAAATATTTAAACTTTTAGTTTTAAAAAAAATTAATAAATTTTTTGGAATTTATAAAATATTTTTTAAGTATTTCTAAAATAAATTATCTAAAGCTATTCTATTTTCAATATATTTTATATTAGGTGATATTTTAATTAGTTTGTGAATAAAAGAAGAGAAAAAAAGGAATGTTTTTATGGTTGGTATTAAAATAAACGAATTCATCCAGATTAGTTGGCTCGTTACTGCTATATATTTATCAAATGTTGCGACATCTAGAGTATTTCCATATATTTTCTCTTATTTTTTCTTGCTCTGTTTATCGATTTTGCTCATGGAAGCCATTCATCTTCCTTACGAAATTCACCCCATTCTCCCGCCGCTGCTGTCAAGGATCGGAGCCCTAAGTTCCAGGGCCTGTCGGAGCCGAACATCCATATTGTTACCTTAAGCAGACTTTCCAGCGTATTCTACTATTCTGGTACTCCATTGGATTTCTGTCTTCTTTTTTTATTTTCCTTTAAATCTCGTCTTAACTTACATTTCAAGAAGTTTCGCCTTAAATGTCGATTTTTCTCCATGTTCGTAATGTTGCCACGTCTCCAAGGCAAACATTGTTGCTGCTAATTCAAGGTCATGGGTAAGGTAATTTCGTCCGTACTCGTCGAGTTGCATAAAAGCGTAAGCTATTGTCTTACGCTTCTGCATAAGCACGCATTCTAAGCCCTTACCCGAAGCGTCTCTATACAAGGTTGTCTGGCCCATCCCGCATCTAATGCTTTTTTTTTTTTAATAATCAAATTGCAAGATATTTTTGCTATATATAATATACCCTATTTTATCTTAATAAAATTATACGTCCTTTCTTCGTAGAATTTTTGTACATTCCATTTCATTTAGCTTAAATAAAAGTTTGGTTAGTTTGGAACGGCTGTCGAGTTGTCAATGAGGGCGAGGGTGAGGAGATGCGTCTATGTCTAAAGGCAATGGTCGAATGCAAGGAGTGTGGATAATAACGTGGGCACGTGCGAGGACTGGCGGCAAGGAGCTGCATAAGCAATGCCCAGGGCAAGGATTGTGGCTAGGGACATAGGTGAAGGCGATGCAAGGACGAGGAGGTGCATCTGCAAGGAGTGCTGGCATCTAGATTTTGAAAATGGGTTATTGAGTTTAGTGTGTTCGAGCTCAAAGCGTTAATTTTTCTAAAATCAATATTTTATTAAATAAATATTTATAAATTAAGAGTAAATTAGATTGTAGCTTATAAATTAAGAAGCTATTTCTCCAATTTTAAGTTTTTAGTTTTTTATTTATTAATGAAAAAGAATCAAATAACATAAACTTTGAAACAATACTCTTAATTTAGTATATATAATAGAACTATTTAAAAATCAATCAATCTCTCAAAATTTATATAAATAATAAAATATTCACAAAAAAAAAATATTTTGATATTTTCTCTAAGAATTCAATAAAAATTAAAAATATTTTAATATTTGTACAAATAATTAAGTAATGATAAATATTTGTAGTGATCCTATATGCAACTTTATTATAGATTCCAAATAAGTTTAGTGATATTGGTATAAACTTATGATTTTTAATACAGGGTCCAAACCAAAATTTTAAACACAAAAATATTGAACAAACTAATTAAGAGCTATAATAAAAATCATAACCATGATTCCATAAAAAAACACAAATAAACAAAACCAAAACCATAATTCCATATAGAATTACATAAACAACCCAAATAAAGCTAAAATTAGATAAACAACAAAAAGCAAAAAAGTGTTACATGAGAACATGTATGTAATAAAATAGAAAGATGCTCAACTAGAGCGCTTTGGTCTACATAAGTATACCTCCATACTATCATCAATCGCATATAACACCTTAGCTTCGAAAGTTGTTGTTAGAAACTCTATTCCAATTTGTTTGACATCAAACGTGATGTAATACAAGAGACCCCAGGCAACTTGATGGGTAGCTTTCGCAATTTTCACAAACTCATAGTTGGTTCCCTGAATAGAAGAAAGTTTAATAAGAGGTTAGGAAGGTTATTGATGGAAGAAAATACAAATGCCAAGTTACATACATACATTTTCAATATTGTACTCACTAATAGCCTTCTGCGCACATTCTCGAAGATGTGGTTTAGATAGTAATTTCTCTGATACAGGTACAATGAGACCAACTTCAGAACTATCCCGTAAGGTGGGTACATCAAAACCCTGTGGCATATGATAATATTACAAAATAATATTGTGAGAATAAAAGTAGGAAACTAGAAAGGAGAATTGAAAAGAATAGTACGTCGGACGCAAGTGCAGCTTCATTGTATCGACTCAGTTCTTCCGGAGTCAATTCGTCGTCATCTGAGTCATAATCTAAGTCATAGGGATTATTTGGTTGGTTTGCTTGGACAGTAGGTGTCATTTGAAGATTAACGTATTGAATCGAGTTCAAAATCTAATACAAAAAAAAAAACAATGAAATAATGAATTGTAATGAAACAACTAACTAATCAAAATCAATCTAAGAATCAAAGAAAATCGGAGAAGAGAAGAGAAATAGGAGAAGATTACCTGCTGAATTAGCAGCACAAGTAGGGATCGGCCAACACGATTGGAGCTGCAATGAAACACAAACTAAACCCTAATCCTAATATTTATTTATAAACCTTTCCTTTCCATATTTACACCTTTCCTTTTCCATATTTACCATTATTTACTTTTATTCATTTTATTATATTTTATTTCTTTATTCGTTCTTCATTTAATTTAGTTACCATTATTGGTCAATAATTTCATCTAAATTATTATTTTTTTCTTCATTTGTCTTTATTTAATTTAGTTAGGATTATTATTGGTCAATAATTTCCCTTACCTAAATTAACTCGTAATCTATATCAATAATTTCCTTATATGCTTATCTAAATTAATTAGTAATTTATTATATTTTAATTAATTAGTAATTTATTATATTTTATTAAAATATTCAGTTATTTAGAGAAAGAAATTAAATAAATTACCTACCTTAATACCATTAATTTATTTATTGAGTGTTTTTACCTTTTTGGATGGAAAGAATTCACAATTTTCAAATTTAATATTGTTTAATTTATTTGAGAAATATTCTTACATTAATCAATGAAAATAACGTCTGGTCATTTTCCCAAGTTTCTTTTTTTTTTCTTCTCTAGGTTCTCTTAACTCTCACTCTCTTTTTTTTTTTTCTCCAATTATTTGCTAGGGTTTTACCTGCACCCTATTGGAGGAGCAAACTTACCTATTTGCCCCTATTGACTTTGACCCTTTTTTTCTTCATGGTGCTCCTCCTATTCGTTCATGATAGTACTTACGCGTACACTAACTACTAGGCAGAGGAACGATCATTATTTTTTGACATAGTGCTGTCGTGACGGTCGCTACTCCTAATGGGTATCCGACATCAACAACTCCTAGAGTATGCTCGCCCGACCAAAAAAGGGTTCAAGAAGTGTGCGAACCGACTCGAGGGTCCATACTCGCACGTATGGGCCGTGGGTAGGAAATTAATTACACATCCAAGTTTTCCATTAGGATAGTCACGGTAGTAAAACAGACTGTAATGATAGGTCTCATGCATGCATTTTTATGTCCTTGCATTATAACTCCGATAGAAGGTCGCTTACTAAGTATTTTTAAAATACTCAAGCAACGTGCTTAGGATAGATTCACATTTAATTTTAGTAGACTATAAGTTAGAGTATAGGTTGCTTGCATTATTATTTAGTAGCATGTAGGTTAGTATAGGGCATTTCATGTTGTATTGTTTTTAATCTTATTTCTCTTTGTGTATTAGTTTTATTAAAAAACATTAAATGAAGTATGCAAGTTTAAGCTTTGATGTTATTATAAAGAATAAATAGAGTTAATTCCGCATTAGATATTCATGATATGTGTACAGTAACGACTTTATGTTAAATAGAAAATTGAGGATCGTTATAGTTATGGTCTTGAGAAAGACCTTAAATGTGATGTTGGTGGTCTTGGACATGAGTAACTTTGACGTCGTCCTACGTGTGAATTGGCTAACTAACAACCACGTCTAAATTGATTGTCAAACAATAAAAGTTACCTAAAAGTGTAACAATACAAAGTCCTCCCCATCATTCGAAGCCAAGGAGTTGGATCAAACAAAACGAAATTAATAATGTCTCTTCTGACACAACCCTCTAGTCTCATCTCTTTGTTACTCTAGGTAACACATACTCTGGATATTTATATTAATATCATTTTCACACTCTTAGGGTTGTGTCCTATGTCGATCTAACGACATGATGCAATATGGCACTCATCATCATATAGCATGCTCAATATGGAAAACATCATCGTATTAAGGTAAACATCACGCAATCATCATACTCACAATATTGCCACAACGTGCATCAAATATATCAAGTACGTCATTCATCAAAATATATATATATACTGCGCACATCATCAAGTATCGTAACCCACATATCATCATAACTCATACATCATCATAACTCATACGCCGCATCGTACGACATAGTTCATACATCATCATAACTCATACAATTTTTAGTCTATCCTATAGTAAGACCACTTACCTGGTTAGCTTATACGGGTGTGACCAATTTATCCTTAATGAAAGTTCGATTTTTCCCTTTGTATCCAAGCCAACCTATAAGAATCCATAACATCAATTTCACGTTTAATTCTCTAACTCCTACAATGGTTCATGTGCTAAACTTCATGCGAGCATTAAAGACTTTATGAGTATTGAGTATATATATATATATATATATATATAT